CAGGCAGGCAGGCAGGCAGGCAGGCACTGGCCCCACTCATTCAGACGAATGGAACGGCAACTGGGAACTGGGCTGCACGCCACTGCTCTTAATAATTCCAGAAGAATTCCTCCCCCACTTCTTTCTGCCTTTATCCCCCCGACTGACTGCAACCATACGTTGTTGGGGACCGACCTCCAGACGGAACAAAATTTTCCCCATACGTATGTTGTGTATAGTGTGTTGTGTTCAGGGTGTATTTATTTGAGTTTTCTTTGAGTAATGACAAAACAAAAAGAAACCACGAGGAAGTTTGTTTTAACTGTTAAAATAAAACATTTATTCACATATCACGACTGCTTATTGGTCTACGCAACAGAGCAGGTCACACAAAACAAATATCATACAAGTACACTTTACAATAAGATTTTCATTTTTCATTTTATGTTATGTTATAACCGAAGAGTCCATCACAATCAATCAGGTTTGCAGGAAAGAGACACACTAGTCAGGAAATGTAGTAACTAAAGTGGAAAAGCTGAGCGGTCGGAGCGAACCTCGACCAAGAAAACTGTAATTATTTTCACTCCCCATACTATCTGACGGTGTCGCGCATTGATATGGTTCCTTCCTGTTTTTCAGTGGCTTTCTGTTTTTTCAAATAAGCCTTGGAGTCGACGAGATCTCATTCCTCTGAATGACTTCGCTCTAAAGGCCTCTGCTTGTTTCGTATGCAGTCAACTGTCGCATTATTATGGAATCATTCCATTTTGAATGGAAATCGATCGCTCCATTTTGTAGAATAATGCATGAAGTGGATTTCCACCTCGTCCATTTCCCTCCCAAGGTGCTGCATAACTCGCGCGACGCGTTTATGACGCGACTGTGGGCCACCGTGAGAAATTATATTTTGAAACGATATCGTTTCGACGTCTATTCCACAGTTTTTAAATCGTTTCGATGTTGTAACGACATATGGCTTTGACCGTCATTTCTCACTGGATGCAAGCAAACACCAGAACGTGCCAACTTCACATTGGCTAAGTCTGACGCCCAAATGTGGTGTAAACTACCAGCATAAAAGCAAACAGATTTGTAGGGTAAGATGCTCAATGATGGACACCTTAAGAGTTGGATCTGCCCAGTGATGGACATGGACACATCTTTTTCGTGGAATGTAAACAACGGAGCACGGAAGATTCGCTTGTTATACCACGGTAGGAGTCTTACTAGAACATTATTTCTGTGGCAAGATATCGTAAAGAGACGAGTTTGGCTGCAAAATCGAGAAAAGTGGCAATCACTGGGACAAGTATCCATCACTGGACATCTTACCCCAAATTTAACCCATCTTGTTCGTACCATTTTGTACGCTAGCCGTTTACGAGATGTAGACACCAGATCTTTTTTTCCTAATGGTAAGTTTGCATGCCCTAGCCATGATGGGCGGTCGCGGGCTTTGAACAGATAGCTCAGCGTCCGTCATAAACGCCCCAGTTGTCGTCTTAATCTCAATGTTTTGTATCAGGTAACATTTTGGGGTATGGGAAAAGCTAAGTGCCGGGAAAATGGGGTGGGGGACACTTTGTAAAAGTCAAGTTGAATCCAAGTTACTCACGACGATTTCCTTCTGTTCTATTTTTCTTTTCTTAGAGAAAATGAGACAAATCAAAATAAAATGGAAACACAAAGTTTTGATATCGATTGGCATATGGCACAGTTATAGGAAATTCCCGGGAATTTCACGAACTAGTCGCGACCTTAATAAACACAGTCCTTCGGAATTTCCCAACAGCCCATGTAGTGGTGTTAAATAAAAACTCCGCGAATAGTCCAAAATCGCTCACGTAGAGGTTGACGATGGTTAATTTATTTACTGTCGAAGTAAGCTGTCAAATATATAGGCGCCCAATAGCGCGTCTCAGTTAACGATCATGAAAACTAAACACCACTTCAAAGCTAGTGAACGAGGTTCTCCCAAAAGGGGTTTGTGTGCGAATCTTCGTCACAAAGATGCCGTCGAAAGAAGTTTCTTTCCACGATGACTTCTCGACCCCCTCGCCTCAAACAGCACGTTCCTTCTGACTTGTGACGCACAGCGCCTGGGTGCCCAGCAAACAGATGGGGGAGTACAAAACCGTCCAGACGATTGCACGCCAGAAGACAAGTTCATCTTGCTTAAACGCGCACACACACAAACAAAATATATATCATGCACTCACAAAACACGCACACTCCATCAGAGTCCCCGTCGCTGTGGGTTCGCAAATCCTTGTCCAAGGGAGTTATTGTCAATTATTTTATTTCATGAATTTCCACTCGCTTACTGCTGCCATAGGGCGAACCCATCAAGCAGAGGTCACTCGGCAGCGTCGTGAAGCGCAGCGTCAAAGAAAAACAAAACTGGAAGGCCGTCTCCAGAGAGACAAAGTTTGTATTAAGACTTGACGTCGTCCTAGTGACGATCTTCAGCGTGGCGGTGAGGTCAGGGGCGCCTGGCCACGACGCTTCCGAGCAGCCTCCTCGTCGTGAAGGGCGTCGATGCGGACGGCACCGTCCCGGACGACCGGCTCGCCCAGCGCGGCCGCCAGGAAGGCCGCCTCCCAGCGGGCGACGACGGGCCGTGCGTCCCGCCGGGCCCCGCGGCCTCGAGCAGCGGGGTCGTCGCCGTCCTCCCGGGCGGCAGGCGTCGTCGGCGTCCCCGCCGAGTCCAAGAGGCGCGCGGCCAGGGCGGAGCCTCCGCCCCCGCGCCCGAGCATGGACGTCAGCAGGCGGTGCAAGGCGAGCCCCAGAGCCCTCCGCCGAGCGGGTCAGATATCTGCAAGCAGAGGGAGGAAAGTAACGGGGTTACATATTTTGAACGCCTAGCCAGTACGTTGACAGTCAGTGGCACAAAATTTGACTGAGATTTAAAAAAAAAACAAAAAAAAACACATCTTTGTTGTTTTACATGGCATGGACACGCAAATCTGTGATGAGCTACACTAAACTGACAAGGAATGGAGGAAGAGTACCCTAGTGTCCGTTTAAACTCCTCAAACGAATACCACAAGGCCGCGTGGGAGGATCACAGCAGGTGCTAGCCAGACGATCATCAAAGAGGCACGACGCAGCTCTGAGAGGGAATGGAAATACTCGAAGGTTTGGGCATCGTGGGGTAAGCGATGGCTGGTGGTGTCTGAAGCGCCCGGGCAGTAGGCAACCGCGAAGCGCACACGGCGAGCGGGCGCGTCTACCCGCTCGTCCGCGGGCGCTCCCACCGGAGGTGAGCCCGGCAGCCGGCTGGCCGGGGCGGAGCGGATGGGAGGAGGAGGAGGAGGGTTCAACGGTCTAACTCTCTCACGCTCGCTGCGCGTTCCGTTCCGTTCCGCTCCCCACCCACTCATAATCTGAATGCAGAAATTGTATAAATAAACACCAAGAGACGAGCGTGAGGGGGTGGGGCTCCCCCGTCACGCGTGGCCCCACGTAAACGTGTTATTTTTGGAAACGCGGTACAAAAAATACATAACTTTACCAGCACAGCCGCTGCCGGCCGCTGCCGTCCGCCGTAACCGCTCTCTCTCACTCTCTTCCTCTCTCTCTCTCCCTCCCTCTCACTGGCCCCTCTCTTCTTCGCCCCGGGGCGTGCCTCAGTGGGTTGCCCGCCCGCCCGAGCTCCGGAGGTCGCGAAGGGTCATAACCTCTCCCGAAGTGTTTCGTTTCGCGTGTCCGAGAGAAACCTTGAGGTGGAAGGGGAGGGGGATAGACGGGGGGTCTCGGAACAAGTAAAACACCGGTGTGACCCGGACAAACAACTTTATCCAGCCAGAAAGGTAAGGTTTC